CTCAACATGTGATCCCTTGAACAAAAAAATAGGGAGTTGGGGCCTAAATGGCCTTGAGTTTGTTTTAATATTTTTAAGAATTACAAAGGTGGGATGATGTTTTCTCCCCCTTTAAGGCAGAACAATACTTTAATTGGACTTAATCAAATCACATTGCTCCGTCTCTCACTTTCAGCTTTTGGATATTAGATCAAAGTGCAGCACTTGCTAATTCACTAAAGACAAACGTCCTTGAAATAAGTCATGAAGATGTAGGAGGAGGTGACTTTGTGTAGAAACCGAGAATGTGGTGGGGTTTGGTTTTCCCCATCTCTTGGATTAGCTGCATGTCTGCATCATGTCTGTTTACCATGGAAAGGCTCCTGGCATGTATAATCATGTATAAACAATTGCTGTCCAGTCATTCCCATTCTACAAATGTCAGAACGTGGCTCCAGCTCGTTATGATTGGTGTTTCCCGCAGAGACAGCCCCAAAAATAAAGGATAGAGCTCAAATTTGAGCCCGTTTCTTCCTCCAGAGTCTGTGTTGGTCTTTCCAAGCACACCACTGAGTTAGAATGCCGAGGATCCTGTCACTTTGTACCACCAGGTTAGTTTCCCAGGGAAATCCTAACAACACACCACAACACGAGTGGCTTTAGACCGCAGGTGTGCACTGCCCCCCATCTCTGGAGGCTGAGTCTGAATGCAGGGCAGCGTCCTCCTCAGGGCCACGCACCCTCTGCCCACTCTACAGAATGTTCCTTCCAGCTCCTGGGGGGAAGCTCCTAGGTGTCTTAGTTTTCCTTGGCTTGTAGATGTGTCTCCACTCAGCCATCTTTCTCCTTTACCCCTTCTTTTTTTATAAGGATGCTCTTTTTTGTAGTGTAGGACACAAACTATACCACGATGACCTATGCTAACTTAAGTGGTGACATCTTCGAAGACCCTATTTCCTGACAAGGTCACATTCACGGATACGATGGGTTGTGCTGTTGCTGCTTGCCGCCGTCACCGTGACTCCATGCGTCAAGAACCCAGTGTATCTGAGGGACACAATTCAGCTGATAAGAAACCTGACATCACTGGCTTTAAAACTATGCTGTTATTGATTGGTGTTGTTGGGGGACATCAAGCTGACCACAGCTTACAGTGACCTTGTGAACAACAGATCTGAACTTGGCCCTGACCTGCGTCATCCTCATGCTCTCTGTCCTGCTCAAGCCCATTGCAGTAATCACTGTGTCACCCCCCTGTAAAGGGTCTTCATCTCTTTTGCTGACCCTCTCCCCTTTCCCAGCATACCTCTATCCGTGGACTAGTTTCTCCTGAAAATATGCCCAGAGTAAATGAGACGAAGCTTCACAATCTTTGCCTCCCTCTTAGAAACACTCTGGTTGCACTTTCTTCAATTCGGATTTGTTTGTATTTTGCCAGTCCGTGGAATTTTCAGTCGTCTTCACCAACACCACATTCCAAAGGCATGGATTCTGGCATCCTTCATCATCGTCCGACTTACAGATGCGGAGGAAACAATTGAAAATACTGTAGTGTGATTGGTTTAAAACTCTAGCTCAGGTTCAAATGGGAAAGGGAAGGCAGATGCCTGGTCTTCTGATCCATCTTCTCTAGACAAGAGATTGGGTGCTAATAAATGAACCCTGACCTACCCTCAGAAGGTGTTGTCTTTCTCTGTGATTCACTTTCTTCCGTGAGCATTAGCTGAGCGATGGAGATAGCTCAGCAATGACTTCTGTACGCCAGCACCCACGGATGGTAGTAGTCAACTCAGTGGTTAAACTGTGAAATCACATACAGTGGACAAGTGTTAAGGGAAGATTGCAGTGGAAAGAAGAGGTGAGGTAAGAATCTTATTCAGAAGCATTGAGGCAGCTTTGTAAGCCTCCTGCCCTTCTGTTCCTCTTCCGCTGAGTGAAAAGTAAGTAAGGCTCCCAGGATCCCGTTCTCTTCATGAAGGTCAATGTTCCTGAGGCTCCTTGCTTGCTGAGAGCAGCCGGCCTTGGGCTGTTTGGGGAGAGCACTAGCCTTGGGTTTGGATGAAGAAACACACCACTGTGCACATGTCACAAGTGAGGGGTGTGCTTTCAGCTCATTAACTAATTACCAGGTATTTGCTAGAACTTTCAGCTGCCAGCATGCTAAACTGAGTATTGTTTGGGGACTCTTGACCTTTTAAGCAATTTTAATTATCCCTTCCCTACTTTGTTTAAATCTCTTCTTTTAAATAATCTGTACTCATTGTTTTCTTACGTAAGTGATCTAGATTATCAGAGTATAAGCTCAAAACCAGAATGTGAGGAAGAAGAGGCAGGAGAGGGGAGCGGTACTCTCTGCCTCTGTCCTTTGCTGACACATCTTTGGCACCGATGACTTCATTGTAATCATAGGCGTACGTGCATTTTCCTGGGGCCATTTCAGTGCAGGGTTTACCCTTGACCCTTTCCTCAAGATTCTGAATTGTTCTGAATTAATAGCAGAAGCAGAGAGAGTGCATTTCCACTCTACTAACTCTTCAACGTGCATCCCAAATCCTGTGTCCCTTTCCAGCCACTCAACCACGCTTCAGTGAAGTCAGTTTGTAGGACTCTATGTGACTGAAAATTTAGATGGTTAGAAAATTCTAGCATGCCTGAGGGGTTTTTTTTTATTTCCCCTTAAAGTTATGTGAACTTAATTAGATTTACACCAAAGCTTTGGAAAATAGTAATAAATGCTAGAGTCTAGCACCTCAACCCTCAGAATGGTGGGCATCCGTAGAGGTATATGAAAACACTTTGCTAATAAGTGTATCATCTGGATGTGTTATTTATGGAAGACAGAATTCATTACTTTTCTGCCACAGGACTGTGTTTTTCCAGAAGTTTCAGGGGAGCTGCTCTGCCTGTTCTCTCTGATAAGACTCTGAGGAGTCAGCCCAGGCCAACAGTGGTCGCCCACAGACTTGGCTTAGTGTTTTTGCAGCAACAGATACCAGTTCTGAAAAGTACTTGAATTCAAACCCTACGGAATTCTTCAGGGTACTTATAGCTGATTGGTAAAGATAAAGTTGAATTCAGATTTGGAGAAGAAGCTATTACAATGGAAAAATTCTGAATTGAAAAGCTAACTTCTCAGAAAAATCCAAGGTTGAAGGACCTGCTTGCAATGTGGTATCACAGCGGGTACATTCTCAGGCCTTTTGGGGGGGGGGGGAAACAGGCTTTTCACTTTATACCTGATCATCTTTAAATAAATGAGAGTCTGTGCTGAACACATACAATATGGTCAAGCTGGTCAGGGGAGCCCAACAAAGAGAGCCTCGTAAATCTGAATTTCAGACTCACTGCCAGTGCTGTTCATGCCCAGTGGAAGCTACAGAAAACCTCACGGTCAGTAGCTGCTGCTTGGTAAGACTCTCAGGGTTGTGCAGGGCATGACTTTAGGACTGGAAGGGAAAACTTGGGTTCTGAGTGCAGTTATTTTCAGAATTGGTGACTCTTGCTGAGAAAACTTGTGAGGACAGTGTGGGTGGTCACTCTGAGTCCAAGTGATGCCTCAGAGCCCTGCTTTTAGGTTGGATGAAGTGAGAAGGATGGTGGGGTACCCTGCTCAGTGAAAGATCCGAGGGGCTAAATGATTGATTTGATACTAAATAGTTTATGCTTTGTCCACACCCTTGGAATCTTACATTTTAACACAGAGCAGAACTCTGATAGGAGACAGCATTTCCAGTGTCACAGAAAGGGACACTAAGTCAGTAACAAAGACCTCATTTTATAGTCAGTTTTTAATGAGAAAAGCCAAATTGCAGAACAGATGATTGAAAACTCCAATATATGAGAAAATAATTGGCTTTTCAAAGGGTTTTATTGTTCACACTCAAGAGAGTATAAAAACATCTAACCCAATCTATTACCACTTCTGGAAAAAATCCTCAAAGTTAATGACCACAGATCATTACTGTCACTTTTGTATGAAATATAAATTGCCGTGAATAGAGCACATCAAAACAGAACTGCTGGGTGAGTGACAACAGCCGGTCGCTTGGTGTAGCCAGTGGGGTGTGCTGTGGCTTGGGGCTCAGTCCAAGACTTCCTCAAGCATATTTTGTCAAAGGAGCTATATAATCTCCTCATTGTAACACACATTTTCAAATTCTTCAGGTAGTCTTCATGTTATTTTGGAACTTTGATTCATACTATGAGATAATACAAAGGCCATTTAGAATCCTGGTGGCCCCGTAGTTAAAGAATTCAGTTAAGCAAAAACATCATTGGTTCAAACCCTCCACTTGATCTATGAGAGAAAAATGAGGCACTCTGCTTACATGTGATCATGGCCTGGAAAACCCGATGGGCTTTCTCCTCTGTCCTCTGGGACAACTGTGGGCTGGAAATCAACTTGATGCAGTGGGCTTCGACATTTGGGATAAAGACTGATCATGATATAAGAGAACTTAGAGATTTCCAGGTGTGTGAGTTTACAGTGTGTTCGGTATTTATCACTCCTATTTTCTGCTTCAGTCTTCAGTTGGTCAGTGAATAATAACAAAGATAATAATGGTCATCAAAAAGCTTAAAACAGCAGTGATGGTCATTCTCAGTGTGTTTACTTTTGTGGTAGAGAGTCCATTTGTTGTGCCCTGATCTCTTTGTTGAACTTCTGCACCACGATCAACTCAGGATGCGTCCAGAATTTTACAGCTGACTACCACAGTTGGTTGACATTACCAAGCCTTTCTGCAGGGCTTGCTGGAGTAATCAAACACAGGTCCCCAAAGTTCTTTCTCTTCTTCATACCTTCGTAACAAATAGCTGTGAAGAGCGGTTGTATTTTGTTAGTGAATTCACTGTTGATTGCACAAGAGCCCTTATTCTGAGAACAAAAGAAAATACTGTCCAAGGTAATGCTGTGAGGAGCCGCCTGAGATCTAATGTTCTGGAACCAAAAAGCAGAATCCATCGAGGCTTCTCTGACTTAGACTGACGCTTCCTTTTCTGTCTCTGTGTTTACTTCTAGAATGCAGTCCCAAGAGCACCTGCAGCAGCGTCGGAAATTTGCAGCTGCCTTCTTGGCGTTGATTTTCATCTTGGCAGCTGTGGACAATGTGGAAGCTGGGAAGAAAGAGAAGTCAGGTAGGCAGGAGGCTTGTGAAGGCAAGAAGACTCGCAGGTTGACGCCCGTCTAGCCCAGTGACTCACATCTTCCCTTTCCATTTGCTCCTTGTCCATTCTTTTCTTCCTCTCTCTCTTTCCACATCCTCCTCTAACTTTCCATCCTTCCTCCTTTCTCCTGTTCTAATTAAAGCACCATCCCTCTCATCTCCTTCCACTAATCGTGGACTGTAGACTCTGATTGTCAAGAACATGATGATCTTGTTGGCAGCTGTCACGGGGAATGTTGCGTGGAACAGTAAGAAATCAGAGCTTCGCTTGCGTTGCCTGCAAAGTTTTTCCATCTCACATTCACACAGCAGGACAGTGAAGCCCAGACTTGCCTCCAGCCCCTCAGTGAGTGGCCTATTGAGCTGGGAGGCCACGGTCACGAGCCACTCTATTTCTATCACAGCATGCCATCTACAGAATGGAGAAGGAAGCGTCGACCAACACTGTAAAGGCTGATCGCACAAGTTATACCTTTAGAAGGTTATATTCTCCTTGTCTACACTTGACTCTTTTTGGCCATCTCATCTTCTGTAGAAAGATCGGTCCACTACTGGGAATATACTCCAAAAAAACCATAGCCATCACCCAAACAGATATATGCATACCCATGTTTATTGTGGCTTTGTTTGCAATAGCAAAGGGTCGGAAACAACTCTCAAGTGCCCATCAACAAATGAATAGCTAGAGAAACTCTGATATATTCACACAATGGCATACTATGCTGCATTGAAAAACAGCAAACTCATGAAATATTATTCAAAATGGGTGACCCTAGAGGACATTATGCTGAGTGAAATATCTCAGTCACAAAAGGACAAATACTGCACATGCCACTCTTGTAAAATGGGACTGACATCGGGGTTGAGGGAAGACAGAGAAGGAAGGGATGAATGATGTATACTGCACAGAAACAGATGAGGGAGGGAACTGTTTAAAAGGGCTATATTTAGGTATTATTGTCATGACAGGAGTCCAGAACAAAGGCTGCACAGTGGAGTGGACTTGCGGGGAGGGATTGTATAACAATGAAAGAATCTTTCTTTTACTTTTCAAAGAGAAGAACAAACTGGAGAGGAGGGGTGTAGTCTCTGTAAATTTTCATTAAAATTAATAATAAGAAGAAGAAAATGAAAAAAGTGACATGGGAAAATCACTTAGTACAGGCCCTGGTGTGTCATCAGAGCTCCATCAGTACCAGTTCGAGTTCCTTCCTCAGTTTGACTCTTTCTCTTGCCTTTTTATCGATTCAGCGGTTCAGCTCACTGTCAGTTTCCTCCTGCTGATTAAGCATTGAAGACTTGAGGTGAGAAACATTGACCCAATGGCTGAGGTGCCCCCAGGTGAACTGGTTTGCACCCAGCAGCTGCTACCTTTTCTGACAGCTGATTATTCCCCCATCATTCTTTCTAGAAAAAAAAGTGAAGAAGTCGGACTGTGGGGAGTGGCAGTGGAGCGTGTGTGTACCCACCAGCGGGGACTGTGGACTGGGCACCCGGGAGGGCACCCGGACTGGAGCCGAGTGCAAGCAGACCATGAAGACCCAGCGATGTAAGATTCCCTGCAACTGGAAGAAGCAGTTTGGAGGTATGGCCTCTGTTGTCTTATTGGCCCAGTTCTCCAGTCTGGACTGTTTGCTGTTTATTCCATGAAATGCCTTTTGAGGTTGATGACTAATGTTCAAAATAAGTTTATACAAACTAACATAAATGACCCTGGGATTTGTGACTATTGGACTTGCTGATGTTTGGAATAGATTCTGATTTCTGATGAGGGCCGGTCCTGTGCTGTAGATATTTAGTAGCATCCCTAGTTTTTCTAGCAACTACTTTCTTTTAGCAGCTCGACCTCCACTGAGTGCTGCAGTGAGCATGTGTTCAAATATTGTCAGATGTCCCCGGAGACATGGCTCCTGGTTGGGAACTGCTTTACCCAGTAGGAACGGGAGGTTCATCAGGATTTAGTGACCTCACCCCCTCTTTTACCTTCATTTTCCTTTTGTTAACATTGCCCCTTCCCCCTTCACTGCGCCTCTCTCTCTGTGACTTCCGTGTCCTCTTTGCTTTTAGCATCTCCTCTCTGTCCACTCTGCCTCGTAGAGGGCTGCGTGTGACTCCTTGTCATAGACTTTTCTCCTGCTGATGACAGACACGCCTGCTCCGGCCTCATCACCTCCAGGAAGACCTTGGGATTTTTGAAGGTTCAGTTCCAGGCTAGTAATAGAAAATGAGTATCACAATCAAGTGAGCCACACAAATTGTTGCTTCTCCTGATGACTAGAAAGGCTGTATTTACACTATATTGTAGTTCACTACTTGTGCAGTGTTGTTGTTGTTGTTGTTGTTGTAGTACGACTCATAGCGACCCTGTGAACAAAAGATCGGAACCCAGTCCTGACCTGCTCCATCCTCACACTTCCTGACACACTAGAGCCCACTGCAGCAGTCACCTTGTCAGTCCACCTGGCTGAGGGTCTTCCTCTCCTTCACCGACCCTCCACCCTTCCCAGCATCATGTCCCTCTCCAAGGATAGCACCTTCTAGCAGCATGATAGCCTTTGAGTCGAGCACAACTCATAGCGACCCTATGAACAAAAGGCCTGAAGCCCCTCTACAACTATCGACATTTATCAAAGTTCATAGAGTTTCCGGAGGCATGTTGTTTAGGAAGTGGATGCCACTCCTGCTTCCAATAGCATGATGAAAAAGCTTGAAATCCAGTGAGGAATCTCACAATGACACCCGAGGCATGAAGTGTGCGTAAACAGTTGGACTAGACTGCCTGGATGCTCGGGTGCCACAAACCTTCGGTAGAACTCATTGCTTCTAAGGAGGATTCTGGCTGCATATCTTCCAAAATAGATTTCAAATCCGTTCATTCTTCTGAGATTGTCCTTATTCATTGTTCAACTTTCCCGTGCTTATGAAGCCACTAAAAATCCCCTGACTTGTATCAGGCACGCCTTAGTGTTTAAAGTAGTATCTGTAGCATTTTAGCGAGTCCCTTGTTTGACAGCAGGTCTGCCTGTTGGAATAGTTTTCTTTTTTGATGATTCCTCTCATAACTGTTGACCATAGATTCAGATAAAAGGAAATCCTTGACAGCTTCAATCTCCGTTTATCATGATGTTGTTTATTGGCCTAGTTATGAGAACATTTGCATTTCTTGATATTGAGAAGGAGATTTAAGCCACAATGTCATGTCACCCTACAGTCTATCAGAATGGCATTAAAAGGACTAGGACCAGAAAAAGCCACGGTGAACAGAAGCTAGGTCACTCCGAGATTGCTCATGTGAACATTGATAAATAACAAATCAAAAACCCCCAGAAACTCAGACCCATTGACACGGAGTTGGTTCAGACTTCTGACAGCCATGTAGGGTGGAGCCGAGCTGCCGAACGAGGTTTCCAAGGCTGTAATCTTAGGAAAGCCCACCAGGACCTCTGTCTCCTGTGGAGTGGCTGGGGAGTTCGAACCACCGACCTTTGGTAGCAACTGAGCACTTAACCATTGTTCACCCAGAGCTGCTTGTAAAATAGAACAGCCTCTCTGAGAAAGAGCCTGGAAGTTTCTTGTACAGCTGAGCATGTACAGAACAGCCGGCGAGCTCTCATGCTCTAGAATATTTATCCCAGAGTAGTGAGACGTATGTTTACCGTAAACATGAACGTGGATGTGAAGAGCAGCTTTGCGTGTAATAGCCATAAACTGGAAAGGACCCAAGTGCCCTTTAACAGTGGTCCCTGGAGTTCCACTGAGCAGTCGGAAGGTGCAGACTGGGGCCATCACGTGGCAGCTTGGGTGGACTGCAGGGAATCCTGCTGATGCGAATGCTGATCCCAAAGGGTACAGAGTGTCCCTTAATTAGAATGGGATGGGATGGGATGGGATGGGATGGCATGCAATACCGTGCAATACAGTGTAATAATATAGAATAGAATAGATATATTGCAATACAGTATAATATAATATATAACAATGTATATAATAATTATATATCATAGAACAATAGACATGATAATAGAACTATATATAATAATGTTGTTGTTGTTGTTTGATGCTGTTGAGTCGTAGACGACTCATAGCGACCCTATGAATGAACAGCCTGAGCACATATATAATAATATGACAATATAAATAACAAAAATGATAGCCTTGGAGAACAGATTGGGGGATACCAAAAGTTGGGATAACCTGAAGACCCTTTTTCCTTTCTCAGCCACATCGTGCTGCCTCGGAATGCTGCATCGTGTCACTTGGTTGACTCTCTAACCCTTACAGGACTGAGAAGGATAGACTCGTTGTTCATGACACAGCCAGTAGAGAAGAGGCTGTGGCTGTAGACAGAAGCAGGGGGCCCTTTGTGATGGCAGTGGTCTTACATGTAATATTTCAGAGAATTGATACCGTATTTTTATTTTATTTTATTTTATTTTATTTTATTTTATTTTATTATTTTTGTGTGCGTGTACCGTCAAATCAGATCTGACTGGTACAGGAGGAGATTGCCCCCTCCTTCCCCGGCAGAGCATCTGGTGGATTCGAACCGTGCACCTCTGGGATTGTAGTTGCAGCTTCTTGCCACTAGGCCACCAGAGCTCCCCTTGATACCGTATTTTTATATATAGTGAACCCAGGGAAACAATCTGCCCCACATTCAGCATGCCGAGGTCCCACGGAAAAAGCAATGCACGAGGAGGTTGTATGGTTTGGAAACCCTTCTACTATGCATATAATTTTTATGGAGATAAGGGCGCACAAATGAGTACATATAAAAACCAATAAAATCTGTATTTGTTGAGGGGATTGCATCCACATCTGTTTCCTGGTATTGGCTTTCCACTGTATAATGGTGGTGGTACACAGGATGCTTGCTATGCAGGACCTCTGCAGGGTTTCTTAGTACTTCGTGTGAATCTACAAATGTTATTGAAATAAAACATTGATGAAAACAACACGTCTTGGGTCTTATGGCTCCAGTGCAACCTCTCACTGGAGATGCCTGTTCTTCCCTCCCGTGTCCATAGCGGAGTGCAAATACCAGTTCCAAGCGTGGGGAGAATGTGACCTGAACACTGCCCTGAAGACCCGAACTGGCAGCCTGAAGCGAGCCCTGCACAACGCCGACTGCCAGAAGACCGTCACCATCTCCAAGCCCTGTGGGAAGATGACCAAGTCCAAACCCCCAGGTACGTCCCTGCCACTCGGTCCACGCACAGCCTTCATGCACGTGGAGCATTGATCCAGGCAGTTTCCTCAGAAACCCAGATCTTCCAGAAGGGACTCTTTAGTGAGTTCACTTAAGACGGGGATTGCAGGAGCCACGTAATTGAGCATCACCCAAGGTTTTTCCTCAAGTAGATATGAGCTCACATGACAGGTCATGAGTGCACTGGACCATACATGTTGAGATGGTGGACATAGTGAAGATACTGTTAGAGAGAGGGTCATGACACTGAAACAATACTACTTAATTCAACAGTTAAAACAATCGATTATAGATTATTGATTATAGAAAAAGATTCAGGAAATAAACAATGATATTATAGCTAAAAGAAGTAAAGATTTAATAAGTGACGTCTTCTGTACAGTTAGATGGTACAAATAAAATTGCTTAGCAAACAGACCAGTTTACACACTTGTATGGTGGTTCTATTTCCAAACTCGCCTCGGAGACTCACATGCTAATAAACAAAAACGGATTTATGGGGATCTGGAAGCAAGGCATTATAATTGCGGCTCTTCCAGATTATTTGTTGACATAATATTCCATGAAATTGAGTACACTCTGTTACATTATTCCTTCCTCTGATGCATAACTTGATCCCCATATAAACCTGTTGCCGCATCCTTGAATTTTGCCTGCTTGGAAGTCTGCAGTGTAGAACAGAACGGCCTCATAAGGTCCCAAAGGCTGTGTGTTAATCTCTAGGGAAGCAGATGGGTGCCTTTTTCCCAGGCCTAATTTCCTTCAGAGCCTGGATGTTGAGCTTGGTAGGATTGCTCTTCCATCAGCATTGGTCAGGGATTAGCGCGTTTACTTTACTTTACAAGCCCTTCTTCAGGGACTGGGCCCTTCTGATAACATGGCCAAAGGGTGTGGAATCGCCTCACCATCCTTGCTTCCAAGAGCGTTCTGCCTGTATATATATATATCCCAAGGCGGATTTGGTGTGCTCTAACCCTAAACGGCTGTTCTTCTCTGTCCTGCAAGGCAGCTCTCAGTCAGAAATGACTTTAGGACAGAAGATTTCAAAGACGTGAGACTTTTAAATGACAAATACATATAGTCTGTTGTGGTCTTGGAGAAAGTAATCCCCCTACTGAAATTCTTGCAGTGGGCTCACGTGTATCAGAGATGGTGAGGGTGGCACAGCGTAGGGCAGAGTTTAGATCCATAGTTCACAGGGTCGCTCTGATTCATACCTGGTTTGATTGTTTCGAATTCCCAGTTGTGGATCTCCTCACCAGAAAGTCCATCGCTTCCTGCTGCCCTCCCTCTCATCAGACATGTGCCCAGACTCTGTTTTGCATTTGTCTAGATTCCTTTAAGGGACTCGTTTGATTTCTGGTCTCTTTGTTTAGGGAGGTAGCAGTAAGCCAACATACAAACCCCATGATTTTCAGTGTGAAAAGCATATATTTTAAGCTTTAGGATGGAACAGGAAGATGTTGGCAAGGTTGTGCTTATTAATTTGAGGAAGGCTGAAACATAGCCTTGTGACTTGATTACTAACAACAAGGTTAATTTAGGTTAAGAGAAGTGCCTCGGGGGCAGTGTGCGCCTAGAGTTGGTATCTGAGCTCTGGAAACTTACTCAATGTCTCCCTCGTTGTGGTGAGAAGTTGCCTAAAATTCCATCACATTCCATCACTGCCTCTTGACTTACAGAGGGGGACCTTCCTTTAGCTCTGTATTGATCCACAATGTGTATATTGATCTGGCAGTAAATATTGCTGCTGATCTTGAGAAGCCTACATCCTAGCTTCAGTCCACGTGTGGGATGGTGGTAGGAAGCCACGGCTGGTGTGTTACTGAGTGGTGTTGAGTCAGTCCTGGTACCTCTAGCGACCCCCTGTGACCGAGTCCAGCTTCTCCACTGCGTGTTTAGAAGCAGGAGCGGCCTCCACTTCCTAAACAACCTGCCTCTTGAAAATCTGTGAACTTTGATGAATGTTGATAGTTATAGAGGGGCTTCAGGCCTTTTGTTCATAGGGCTGCTATGAGTTGTACTCAATTCGAAGGCAATCAACAGCAACAACAATCGTTGCTAAGGAAGCAAATGACCATTTTTTGTCTCTTACGGAACAACTGAGAGGGTTCTGGCTGCGACCGCTCACTTAGCAGCAGAGCACTTACCCGTCGCTCTGACAGGCTGTTTGGCAACATCTCCATAGACCGCAGGTAAAAAGAACTTATCCCCTTGTGTTCTATGTAAAACACTTAATCTGAGAAGGTCTTTTAGCCATCTACGTCTTTACTCTACATCCAGAAGGAGAAAGAGAACGTTAATATTTCTACATAGACTTAAAAATGAAGAAAATGTATATTTGGAATGAAGCACTATGGGAAGAATCACTGGAATACTGTACTCCGAATTTACATGATTGTGATGATAATATAATGAGTCGAAGTCAGTAGAAGAGTGATGGTACATCATTAAGATTTTCACTTTTCTAGAAAATGAGATAAAGACTGAAATCTATCAAAACTTTTAGACGCGGGGTGAGACATTCTAACTGATTTAAGTAAGAAAAGGGTTTATTCAGAGGTGCTGTGCGGCCCACAGTCTTTGGAAGGGCTGGACAGTTGGACCTGGGTGCTGCATAGACAGAACTAATTCAGACAGAGGCCCCTGAGCCAGAGGACATGCCTAATCACGCAGACCCACTTAGCAGAGACTGATGTTGAAATTGCCAAGTGTTCAGCCGTAGTCAGACCCTGGAAACTCTACTGTCGGTTTCCAAAAATACCGGCCAATTCCACTTTCTCAGAATATCTAATCTGCCCAAGTACAGCTCCTACCTCAGGTTACTCATTTCTACCTCAAAGTCATGGTTAACTGTGTCTACTTGGAATTTACAGGCCGTCTTAAGAATCGGTTTGATAAATTGCACGCTAATGACTAAGGATCATGAATAAGGTGTGAGGTGACCTGTAAAGGCCAAGAACAATGTCAGTCAGTAGGGACTCTGAAACTTGATCTTGAATGCAGAGTAGTAAGACCAGTGGAAGAAATGAGTACAAAAAGAGCTGAACAGATGATTTTAAAAGGCTACCCTAGAAGACAGTCAAATATTATCATGAAATGTGCAAAGTCTGGGAATAGGAACACCAAAAGAGAACATCTTTAGCATTTTCAAGCTAAAAGAAACATGGAGGAGAAAAAAAACAATGCTAAGTTGCCATATTAAAAGATTGCATGGACAAGATATTGAATGTTTTGGTAAGTTTCAAGGGAAAATGAAAGAAAATCACTGTACAAAAAAAATTGTTTCTATTCAGTCATTTCAAGAGGTAGCATATAGTCAAGAACCCATGACGTTAAAGGCATTATCGAGAACCAAGGCTTCAGGAATTTTTGGAATACCAGTTGAAATATTTCATCCAACAGATGCAATGCTGGAATAGTCAATTCTCTGTACCAAGAATTTGGAAGACAGCTACTTGACTGACCAACTGGAAGAGATTAAGAGTTGTGCCCAAAGAAAGATGATTCAACAGAATGCAGACATTATTAAATATCACATGAAATAAACATTACAAAATTATGCGATATGTCAGTAGAGAACTGCCAGAAATACAAGCAGAAAATATAGTTCAGAAGAGGACTTGGGGCCAGAATATAATTGTTGCTGTTAGATAGATCTTGACTGAAGGCAGAAAATACCAGAAAAATGTTTATCTGTGGAAAAGTATTGGTCTATGTAGATCCTGAGAAATTGTGGGTAACTTTACAAAGAAAGGGAGTTCTGAGACCCTTCCTCACTCTCATTCACAACCTGTATGTTGACCAAAAAGCACGGATATTTGATCAGAACATGGGATGTGGCACAGTGTGAAATCCAGGATGGTGCATGTTAAGGTTGTATCCTTTCACCAGATATATTAAAACTGTGCACTGAGCAAGTAATCCAGTCCTTCCCTCAGGACTGGAGAACATTCCAATCCTGATTCAATATTAATATTGCAAGCAATGTTAACAGTTTGCAGTATTCAGGTGATACAGCCTTATTTACTACAGGCTTAGCCATAAAAATCAAAGACTTCAACTTTTACCAGATACTACACCTTAATACAAAGAGAACAAAACTCCTCCCAACTTGATAAATCAGTAACATCATAACAAAAGGAAAAAAGATTGAAGCAGTCAAGAATGTCATTTTACTTGCTTGAATCCACTTGGTTCAGTGCCCAGCTGAGAAATGGCACATCACATTGGGCACAACTGTCCTCAGAGACCTCGTTGAAGTATTGAACAGCAAAGATGACTTTTCCCTAGGAAGCTCTGGTGGCTTCTTGTTGTTGTTGTTAAGTGCTGTCGAGTCATCTGTGACTACAACAACCCCATGTACTCGGCCCTATCCTGAGCCAGTCTCACTGATTCTAACACCCCTAATCCTACTACCAGTTACTGTGTTGATCCATTTCACCCAGGGTCGTCTTCTCCTGCACTGTCCCGCCACCCTTCCAGTCACAATGTCCTTCTCCAAGGACTGGTTCTTCCTGGCCACATGCCCAAAGTATATGATGGCTTAGCGGTAAGGAATTGTGTTGCCAACCCAAAGGTACGTGGTTCAAATCCACCAGCTGCTCCATGGGAGAAAGGTGGACAGTCTCCTCCTGTGTGATGAGGTGTTGCTTAAACCTGCAGGATGGTCAGCCGTGGGTCAGTTCTGATTCCCTGGTGTGTAACAACAGCACTTTTCCAGGTCAGTTCTGACTTTTCATTTTGGAGGAACCCTGTAGGGTAGCTGGACTGTGAACAAGGTGGTCAGGGGGTCCTTCAGAGGACGAATGGATGGCTGCTGACTCTCACCTGTGCTCCCCAAGGCTCCTTTCAGGGCTCATCTCACTGTGAAATCAAGCTGAACAAGGCTGAGGGGGTGGCAGCATGGACCATCCAGGGCAGAACCATGGTCCCACAGAGAGTCTGGTCTGTGTGTGTGTGAAGTTACCACAGCTGGAC